CTTGAAGCTCCCCACAGTGACGTCCACCAGGCGGTTGTGGCAGGGAGCCGGCGGAGGGCTTTCAGGAAGACCGGGCGCCTCGGAGGCAGGGGCGTCCTCCCCGTCCGAAGGCAGAAGGGACTTGGTGGAGTTGCAGTCCGACAGGGAGGAGAGGGACAGGAGGGTCAGGGAGCTGGGCGGCCCCGAGGGCAGGGGGGTCCTCAGCCTTTCCCCCGCCAGCTCAGCCAGCTCGGCCCCCAGGGCGATCGAGGCCAGGATGGAGGCGCATCCCAGAAGCACAAGCTCGCTGCGGCGACGGGCAGGGGGTGCCCCCCGCTTGGCTCCTCCTTCTGGCACGGTGGGCAGAGGGTGCGGACCCACCTTGGACTCCACCCCTGGCGGCGGCAAGAGGGGCAGGTAGGGGGACTGGGGGCAGCTGCTCTCCTTCTCCGCGTACTCCTCTGGGGCGGCAAAGAGAAAAGGGGACGGCCGGTCGGGATTTGGAACAGAAAGCAGAGGCCTGACCTGCGGCTACCTGTGAAGGCTGGACCCAAAGAGCCAATGGGGCACTGCCCCCCCAGGAGGTGTTGCCCAGCCAGCCTGCTCTTCCCTAAGAGCCCCCACCCCACCTCCAAATATCTGGACTGTTTCCCCCTCCTGCTCAACTCGCACTCTGAATGTGTGGATTCGTGCCTGCATGTCTGCTGGTGTGGATGTAGACCTGGGATGCTCTGGGCCCTGGGGGCCACCCTGGACTCGGCCCACCCCACCCCAAAATATCTGGACTGTTTCCCCCTCCTGCTCAACTCGCACTCTGAATGTGTGGATTCGTGCCTGCATGTGAGGGGCCCACGAGGAAACCGTTTGCTCCTTCCACCTTTCCTTGCCTGGCCAGAAGTGCTGCTGGTGGATCAGGCCCCTCCATCTACAGAGAAAAGGAGGCCCACCCCAAGCCCCCTCCCCAAATCCTCCGGCCAGAATCCAGGCCTTCCAGGTGGTCTCACCCATCTCCGTCAGGCTGGCAAAGCCCCCCACCAGTGGCACGTGCTTTGGAGACTTGCCCAGGTTGGGGGCACTGGAGGACCACTGCTTGTTCCCCTCGGCCAGGGACTTCCACCTGCGCAGGTGAGAGAGAAGAGGGAAGAGTGAGCGCCCACGCCCTGAACTGAAGTGGGGGAGCCTCGGTCTTCCAGCAGAGGGAGGTCCTCCCCCCACTTCTGAGTCCCGAAGAAGAGCCCCAAAGACTTTGCTACCCCGCCCCACGGCCTCCCAATGGACCCTCTCCCCCTTGACCCCCCACACC